CTCTGTCTCAAAAACAAATAAACAGGGGCTGGGGATTTAGCTCAGCGGCTTAAGCACCTGCCTTGCTAGCAGGCGGTCATGAGTTCGATCCCCGGTACCATTAAAAATGAAAAAGACAAAAATACAAACAAACAAATAGTCCCCCAAACAATAGGGATGCTTTCTGAGAAATGCATCAATAGGCCATTTTGTTGTGCAAACATTACACAGTATATTTATACAAACCTACACAAGGTAGCCTACTGTGCACCTAGTCTATTTTAAAAATTCGTATGTACATTTTTACATTTAAAACTTTCATTAAAAATGAAGACACATCTGGGCAAGGTGATATATGCTTATAATCCTGGCACTGCAGAGGCTGAAGCCAGAGAATGGTCAGTTCAAGGCCAGCCTGGATTATACAGGGAGACCCTATCTAAAAAAATAAAATAAACTGAAGACATAAACTCATTAGTCTTGGCCACACAAGGCCAGGGTTTTCCAATTCCACAATTTGTTCCAATAAAAATCTCCAGAAACACCCATGAGACTGTTGTCATCTATGATAGTAATACTTTCTTCTGGAATACCTTCTGATGGACTTGCCTGAGGCTGTTTTAAAATTAATTGTTTTTAATATTTAGTTTTTTTTTTTTTTTTCTGAGACAGGGTCTCACACTACAGTCTAGGCTGGCCTTGAGTTCAGTTGGTAGCCCAGGCTGGCCTTGAACATGCAGTGATCCTCTTCCTAGACCTCCTGAGTGTTGGGATTACAGGCATGCCCTACCACGCCCAGCTAACTTCTTTTTTAATTAGTAGTACACTCTAAAATACTGATTAAAAGTATGGGATAACAAGTACACAAACAGTAACAATTGTTTCTTATTATTAAGTATTATGTGCTCTATCTATCTAAAACTGTGTACAATTGGCAATATAGCACACTTTATACTTTTTTCCCCCTGCAGTAGTAGGGATTGAACCTAGGACCTTCCCACTGAGCTATACTCCCAGCCTCTTTTTAAACTTTTTGTTTTGAGCTAAGATTTTCAAAATTGGGACTGGGGATTTAGCTCAGCGTCATAAGCGCCTGCCTCGAAAGCAGGCAGTTGTGAGTTCTATCCCTGGTACCGGTAAAAAACGAAAAAGCCAAAAAAAAAAAAAAAATTTAAAAAAAAAAAAAAGGTTTTACAAAATTGCTAAGCTGGGCTGTGATCCTCCTGCCCCAACCTCCCAGATTGTTGGAATCATGGCCAGTTTATATGCTCTACTTTTATACTGGAAGTGTAGTGCCTTAGTTACTTTTTACTCATTGCTGAGACAAAATACCTGAAGCCCAAGTTAGGAAAGGAAAGGTTTATTTCTTATAGTTTTTGGAGGTTTCAGTCCACACTTAGCTGGCCCCGAGACAGGTGGGCATAGCTGGGCTGCCTTTCATGGCGGCTGCAAACAGCAAACCAGAACCGGCAAAGAGAGAGACACACCTTCTTCCTGCCATTACATCACAGCCTGGCTCCACCCACAAAGGGAGCCAGGCACTATACAATGCACTATACAATGAACCTATCCAAGCACTATACAAAGGCACAATGGGGGCTGGGGATTTAGATCAGCGGCATAAGCACCTACCTTGCAAAGCAGGCGGTTGTGAGTTCAATCCTCGGTACCGATAAAGATGAAAAAGACAAAAAAACAAAACAAAACAAAAAAATGAACAATGCAAACTCATGAGGCCTGGGGGACACAGACATAAACAATGACATGTAGTGAAGTGGGTTCATGAACAATAAGCAGCACCACAAACATGTAATATGTTATGCTGTGATATTACAGTGGCGATGGCAGTATTAGGCAAAAGGATTTTTCCAGCTCAGTTCTGTCATAATCTTATGGGACCATTCATGTATTCAGTGTTATTGACCAAACATTGTTGAAAGGTAAATGAGACTGTAACCCATGCAAGAACAATGAAGACACTCTGCCATGAAGAATAAGTTTATTTGGCACAGGGAAAGGTCATCTCAACGACAGAAAGTGGCCTGGAGTGGGGGAGCCATGGGTTTACAAGCTTGAAAACCACAGCAGGGTGTGGAATGGGCGAGTGGGCCAGAACAGAACAGAACTTGTTGTGCCAGGGAGGCACAACAAGTACATTTTGGAGTGGAGTTGTGAAAACCGGGAATATCTGTGTGGACACTGTAGTTCTTGGGAAAATATGCAGGTGTCTTTGTGGTTGGTACTGTCAATTGTCTTTGTGGCTGGTTTTTGCTTTTCTGCTTCTGTGAAAGCTTGTGGGGGCAGTTAAGCTGCATCCTTTAACAGGCTGCATCCTTTAATTTCCTCTTCCCTGGGCCCTGGAACTCACTGCGCCATCAGTTATGTACCATAGCAAGACTGTGCTATGGCACTGGAGTCTACATTCTTAACTACTAAACTTGGAGGGCTGCGTGTGGTGGCACACATCCAGTGTTTGGGAGGCTGAGGCAAGGATCTGAGTTTGAGGCCAGCCTGAACTACATCACAAGACCCTGTCCCAAAACAAAACAAAACAACACAACACAACTAAACTGGGAGCTTCTTCTCACCTACAAGCAGATATTTAGAAGTGATATGGGAGAAATGCTAGATGTTAAATACACAGTTTGAGTCTCTCAAAGTCAAAACATGAATTCTAAGGAACAATGGAGGTTAAGAGTTGGAAAACTTGGAGAAAAGGAATGGGGAGTAGGAATGGGGTAGTGCGGACTAGGAATAGCTCCTGAGAGACAGTAGAGGTCCTGAAAGGGATGCCAATGAGTTCTTCTCTCAAAGGCAATTTTATAGAGCAAAATCATGAGGCAGGTAAAACATGGGTCAGAATTATGATCCGTTAATAAGACTTCAAATATAATCTCTTAAGTAATATTGATCTAATGTGGCAAGGGTACATGCATGACATCATTAACCTTAGTTGATAGTATATAGTCTTAGTCTTATTTTTAGTGTTAGCAGTCTTAGTCTTTTTAGTTTTAGTAGGTGGGAGAGAATGGCCTCCCTTAATGAGATAATGGGAAATCTCAAAAGGGTGATACCAGCCAGGCATGTTGGCTCATACCTGTAATCCCAGCACTTAGAAGGGTGAGGCAGGAGGATCCTTGGGAGTTCGAACCAGCGTGGGCTACAAAGTGAGCACAAGGCCAGCCTGAACTGCATACTGAGATCTTGTCTTTAAAAAAAAAAAAAAAGAAAGAAAAGAAAGAGAAAAGAAAAAGAGAAAGGTGATATCGTGATATCATTAATAATGAATCTCTGTTCATCTCTTAGGGAAGTATATAAAGCCAGCCATTGTGACTTCAGTCTTCAGATGCCCTCCAGCCACGGTCCTGATGCATTCTCTCATCTTGCACTGATTCCCTAGCTACTTTATTTTTACTTTAAATGTCTATAATAGAAGCTCATTTATTTCTCCGTCACCTGACTATGAAACCACTGGTCTAATCCCTTATTTCCCCTCTCTGATTATCACTGTGGACAAACACAGCTCTGCTCCTACCAAAAGTCAACTCTTTCACATGGGCTTGGGGGGGGGGTCTCAGTTTTATCAAGGGCTCCTCTGCTGTTAGTCGCTCTCTCAAATGTCACCAGTTTTCCCTTTCTCTGAAAATCAGCATATTCTTTAATATCTTTGATTAAAAAATAAAAAAAGACAAAGAAGGCCCTCCCTGACCTTACCTTCCCTCCTGCAGGATCCCACAATTCTCAGATTGCTTTTTAGCTCTTTCTCTTGATAGTTACTTGGCTGCTCTTTCTTTTCCTTTATATCTAAGTTTAAGCCTTCTTCCTAAGAAGCTGGCCTTTGACCATCCATGAAAGCCCTGCCCACAGACTGCCTATTTCATTAATTTAGGTTCTATGCAAACTGTATATCAGGATTGGATTCTTTTCTTGTCTATGTGTTAAGCATTTGCTTTCATCCCAGAATTTAACCTCTTTAAAGCACTCATTTGCCAGTTGTATCCACAGGACCTTAAAAACTGAGTGACCAAAGAATACTTAACATTGTTCTTGTAGGCCGTGAGTGCCTTGTCTCTTATACTCCTTTCTCCCTGGCTTTACTGTTCTTCCAAAGTGCCCGACCACCCCTAAAATTTGGTCTTTGCACTTACTATTTTTTTCTCTGTGGAAGACTCATTCCCTTTCCTTCTTCTCAGTTCTTTGCTTTTGTTAAAAGTTAACCTTCTCATCCAGGCTCTCCTTGCTTGGGAATTTAGAACAGCAACTCCAATTCTTTACTTCTTTCCTTACTAAATTCTTACTTTAAACTTTTAATAGTTTTCCTTAATTTTTCTGCATAGCACTTACCAATTTTTATTTTTGCTTTTTGAGACCCTTGTCTCACTATGCAGTTTAAGGTTGGTCTGGAACTATTAGTCCAAGCTGGCCTCCAGCTCGAAGGGATCCTTCTGTTTCAGCCTCCTAAATGCTGAGATTATAGGTGTTCGCCAGGCTACAGTGCCAGGCCAACTTTTTTTTTTTTGTCTTTTTCCTTTTTATCGGTACCAGGGATCGAACTCACGACTGCTTGCTTGCAAGGTAGGCGCTTATGCCGCTGAGCTAAATCTCCAGCCTCCGGGCCAACTTTTAATACACTATAAATGGTGATTATATCATTGGCCAATCATTTGATTGTCTGTTTCTGCATTTTCCCTCCCTCCATGAAAGTTCTGGTATATTCTCAGCCTAGAAAGTGCTTATTAAATGAATATATTTGTACAGCAAATGCACACATTTATTGTGAAGTCTTTCGGAAGCGGAAGGTAGCATTATCACCTGTACAACTGCTTTTGTGAACAAATGATCTGAACAGCGGTATTCACGTTTTCACTCTGGTCATCCAAACCCGGGATCCTGCACACAATAGGAGTCCAGAGAAACCTTGCTCGCTGGGGGCGTGGCTCTCTTGACCGCAAACAGCAACCATCGCTGGCCCCGCCCACCCCGGAAGCCCCGCCCCTCATTCTGAATGCCTTATAGGCGAGTGACGTCAGGTCGTTTGTTGTCATTGGCGGCTCCCAAGATGGCGTCCATCGTGGAAGGGCCGCTGAGTAAATGGACTAACGTGATGAAAGGCTGGCAGTACCGTTGGTTCGTGCTCGACTACAACGCAGGGCTTCTGTCCTACTACACGGTGAGTGCCCGGAGGGCAAAGCTCAGAGCGACTCGGAGACCGAGTTCCCTGATGGAGGTGGGGCCCTGGGTTCTGGGTGGCCGGCTTAAGGTTGCTAAACTGGGGGTGCCGCCGTACTAGAGGTTTCCCTTGGGAGGAGGGTCTGGTGTGCGGGATAGCCAATTACGGTGAAAGAGACGCGGGCGCAGCCAATAAGTTGGCACTGGTTGTCTGATTTATGGGTTAGGGGTGAGCCTGGTTTCATTTTAGGGTCTACTGTTAAGCTGTTGTGGGGTCCGGCGTGGTTGAGTGGTTATGACTGGTTATAGTTACTGTTCAGAGGGTCCAGTCTGTGGTGAATGCGGTCTCTACACGTATTCATGGACTTTCTACTGTGCTTTCAGGCCCCACAGGCGACCGCACCTCTTTGCTCCCCTCTGGGGATCATAGAGATCTGCTTTCTTGAAGCCAGTGGTTAAACGAATCTGGAGAGGTCCAGAGGTGACCCTCGAGTAAAACGGAAAGGGGTCCGAAATCCTCTTGAGTGTCCAGGTTAGGTGTCTTCTTTGAGGGACGCACCCCTCTTTTCAGCGACTGTAACCGACGCCTTAACTTCTCAGAGTAGAGGCTTCCCTGCGCGCTTTATGCCGTTAGTTAGCTTAGAGGTATAATGCGGTGTGCCCCGAAAGTTTATTCTGAGGAAGGCTGAGTCCAGGACTTTACTGCTGTCAACACGAACCACCGGGCAAGTCGTGAATTGCTGTGAATCTTGCATTCTGATTGCCCTCTCCATCCTCATCGCTTTAAAATGAAAGGTGGGTAGTATTAGAGGGAGAAATTACTTATGAAGGTACTTTCTAAAAATGGTGCTGTTAATAATGATTAACCAGTGTGAGGGAGAAAACCACTTAAAAGATAAAATAGAAGTCATCAAGGCTTTAGAAAATAACAAAAGAAAGGACAATTATGGAAGAAGAGTTCATGTTGATGTGGAATGGGGACACAAAATTACTCATGTATTAAAAAATATTATTAGGCTCCCGGTATGTGCATTTCCTTGCCAGCAAGAATCAGCAGTGTTGGGGCCGGGGATTTAACTCAGTGGCATAAGCGCCTGCCTTGCGAGCAGGCAGTCGTGAGTTTGATCCCTGGTACTGATAAAAAAAAAAAAAAAAATCAGCAGTGTTGAAATTGTTTCTCTTCCCAGGAGCTTTTATTCTAGTCCAGTGGGTTCCTGAATTCTTTTTTTTTTTTTTTTTTTTTGGTCTTTTTGAGACAGGGTCTCTCTATGCAGTTCTGGCTGGCCTTGAACTCACTTTGTAGCCCAAGCTGGTCGTCTCCCAAGTGCTAGGATTACAGGCGTAAGCCACCACGCCCAGTTCCTGAATTCATTTTAAATTTGATAAGCCTATAGGATAGGTATTCATTATCCTCATTTATATCCCAGTTTTATAGCGTTGGAATATGAAGCTCCAGGCTTTTAAGTAGTTAGCTGAAGATCACATAGCTAGCAGTAGATGGTGGAATCAGGATGCCAAGTTCTTGATTTTTTTGACTTTTTTCATTAAACTTCACTTTCAGTATAGAAGGGGAAAAAGCTATAGGTTACTAAGCCTGTAAGAGTAAAATATTATTTTCATCATTCAAATGTAAACTTCCTTTCTTTGAGATTGTGGTTTTTTTTTTTTTTTAACTGCTCATTGGCACTGAGCTACATACCCAGGTCCTTTTTTATTTTGAGGCAGGACTTGCTAAATGTTTAGTTTTTGATTCTTCTGACTCAGCCTCCTAGAGTGCTGGGATTACAGGTGTTCACCATCAGCTTCATTTCTTTGTGGACAGGGTTTTGCTTGAAGTTCAGGCCAGCCTTGAACTCACTATGGAGCCTGGGCTAACCTCAAACACCAGCAATCCTACCTCAGCCTTCACAGTGCTGGGACTGTATGTATGTGTCACCACCCAGCATCCCCATCATTTTTAAGGGGAAAGCAAACCTTAATGAGTCATAAACTTACTGTTCAAGATTATGTCTAGGTAGGCACTGAAGTAAAGCCACTGAACATCATATCCTGAAAACTCAGGAGTATGAAATCTTATGACTCAGACAAATGAAGAATAATATTGGTTTCAGTAGATGTGGTAATAGGAAAATCTCATGGAAACTATCCACTTGTTCAGATTACAGTAATTTTCTCTTTCCCTCTTGGCCTCCTCCTTTCTTCCATCCTTCTTTCCTGAGATAGGGTTTCACTATGTAGTTCAAGCTGGCCTGGAACTCATGTAGCTCAGGTTGGCCTCAGACTCACAGTGGTCCTCCTGCCTCAGCCTCCTAAGGGCTGGGATTACATGCATGCCCAACCATGCCAGGTTTAATTTCTATGAGTTGCACAATGAATCTGATTTGTAAACAGTTTGTGTGATTCTGAATCCAGGCTTGCACTGGAGAGTCCCAAGCTGGGTTTTGGGAGCTCCTAATCCAGACAAAATGTTCTTTAATTTTTTTCTGTTCTGTTCTTCTTTCTTTCTTTTCTTCCTTCCTTCTTTCTTTCTTTTTGGTTTTGTTTTTTTGAGAGAGGTTCTTGCTATGTAATACAGGCTGGTTTTGACCTCACATTTGAACTCACTAATGTAGCCCAGGCTGGCTTATAACTTGTGGAGATTTTCTTGTCTTAGCCTCCCAAGAGCCGGGATTGTAGGCATGCATCACCACATCAGGCTCAGAATATTCTTTTTTCCTGTTTTACCTACTTTAATGTATGTCTTTTTTCTACCTTTGTGTCCTTTTAGTTTTTGAATGCTTGACCAAATATCTGCTTGCCTTGCTGACTAAATACAGGCTTTTCATATAGTGTGAGTACTTTTTTTTTTTTCTCTTTAATACTTAGTCTGCCCTCTGAGACTAAATTCTAGAAAACATAATCCTTGCCAGGGTAGGAGGTATCATATTTCTCACTAATGGCTGTTTAGAATGATTTTCCCCCTTATTTTGCCTGTTCTTCTGTGTTAAAGTATTTAGTTTCAGAGAGACAGCAGAGAAAAATTGTACCATCTTATAAAAATAAAATGACACCCAAACCCAAATTAGAGGAAGAAACTTAGGAAAAGTGTAAGTATTCCCTGAAAGAGGAAGTGTGAGACAGTTGAATGTTGGCAGTGAATTTTGTTCACTTGGGCACTGTTTCACTACATTCGATTTCTGAAGGATTTGAGGGTACATTGAACGATTTTGATGGGGCTAGCAGTATGTGTTGTAGAAAAAATACCTGAATCAGTTGTACATTGTTTTAAACAAGGTAATAAAAGGCCCAAGACACTTTATTCCTTGTTCTCAAAATCACCTGCTCTTTAATCTGGCTCTGTGTTTGTTGATTTATTCTAGGGTATCCCTGAAACTGAACTAAGTGACAATGTTCTTGCTTTAGAGAGCAAGAGCTTTGATAGTGACAGGATCTCAGGGTTGGGTTAGGATCTGTGGAGATGCCATGAACTGGTGAGTCCTGTACCACTGGGCTGCACCTGCGACCCATTCCTTTGTTTTTGGAAAGGAGCTTACTGTATTTTTGTTCTGTCCAAAACAGAACCAGAGGAGCTAACTGCTTTAGAAAAGTAAATTTAGGCACTTTTCAGCTCTGGCTCTGGCTCTTAGAAACTTAATATATTGTAGTTTATTTCACAAGTCTTTTTCAGGGCTGACTTTGTAATAGGTATTGTACTGTATAGGCTGTGAAGAAATAATTCTTCATAAGAGTAACTCACAGTCTAGCAGAGCAGACCCCTTAAGATAATTTCAAACATGACAAATTGTACAATTAGAAATAAGAAGAGTTTTAAAAGGTAAGAACAGAGCGTTAGTGGTACATTATGCAGAAAAGGCCAGAGAGACATTAGAGCTGAAGGATTAGTGTAGAAGGGCATTTCAGCCAGTGGGAAAATATATACAGTCTATATTTATATGAAGCCTGAGAACATAAAGTGCATTAGGAGAATTTTGAGAATTTCTGAGCATCTCCAATGTAAAAGTATAATTGGGAGGTAATAGCAGATGGAGCTCAGAAGGTATTTGGAAGGCATGGGTCAGGCTGGAGGTAAAGATTTCTTCAGTTATAGCACAAAATTGATCCGTTGAATTTTTATAATTTAATGAGATGCCTAGGGAGCATTAAGGATATAAATGTTGAAATACTATGTGAATGAACAAGTGTTCATGTGAAATATGGTCAGAAAAGTAAAGGAGAGAGCCAGGGATTTAGCACAAGTGCCTAACTGGCAAGCGTGAGATCATGAGTTCAATCACTGGTACCAAAAAAAAAAAAAAAAGGAGAAAGGAAGGAAGATCCAGGGAGGTGAAATATGAGGGGAGTTAGAAGGTTATAAAATTAGTAAACTTGGTGTCTTGTTGATTTCTTTTTTTTTTGCCTCATTTTTTAAACTCGACTTTGTTGATTTCTTAAATGTTTGCTGAGTACCTATTGTGTGCCAGGCATTTTGCTAGGAAGTGGGGCTAAAGGGGCAAATAAGATAGAATTTGCCCATATTCTTAAAATACCTAGTGTGTGCAGGGGTAGAGTGAGTGAGCAGGAGCTGTGATGAGAAGCACTACAGTGTTTGCAAGAGCCTGTGAGCCTCAGTCCTGCGGGCATAGGAAAAGTTTCCTGAAAGAACCAGGTTTGTTGTGACTCAAATGATAAGTGGAGAGGGAGCCATGTGACCAGTGAGGGAAAAGTGCTCGAGACAAAGGGAATCAGTGCTTTTGGAGGAGCTGGAGCTGTGAATTAGGGAGCAGTGAGAGAGGAACATCTGATTCATGTTCCCATCAACTCCTCCTTCCTACATTGGCTTATCTTAAAGAGTTCCTGAATATTATATTACTCTGTTTCATTGTGAATATTTAAGTATTTGTCACTAAGAGTTAAGATTTCTCTATCAAAATACCTATCTCAGTCGGTGCAGTTTTTTTGTGTTTTGACTTGAGTCAGGATTCCAAACAAGATTGGTTCATACAATTTGTATGTTTCCGTTTA